TATGCATATATTTGTATATAAAAAAGTTTGTTCTGCAGCTTATAGTTTTTCCAGAGTTAAAACTGCAGCCCTGCGTGTAAGAAGGCCCATTTCTCCAGCAGTAACAGGTCTGCAGAGCATCTGCTCAAAGCCCTTCAGGCTGGGAAGTGCTGGGCCCGGGTCCTGCTCTGAAGGGGACCATGCCTGTCACCCCATGGTCCCAGACTCACCCTGAATACTTTGAGCCAAACACCATTAGGCTAAGATTTACCCGTGTTCTTGTAGGTGTGTTTCCTGTTTCCTGTTTGCGAAGGCAGCTACAGAAGAAATAAAAGTAACAGCTTTAGCTCACCTTTTTCCTGTGGTGTGAAATGTTGTAGCAGCGCACTCACTATGACTGATCTCCGTTGCAGGGCTGTTGTCTTGCTGCTGACGAAAGCTGTCGTGACACAGAGCAAGGCTTGGAGATCCGAGGTGCTCCGTGGCTGCACACTGTGAGTTTTAAATTTTTAACCTCTTGAAATGTGTGGGTGCTCGATGGTGTAAATTATGAGTCAGAAGGCGAAGGTGCATCCTGGTTAGGTTGTTGTGTGATTGGTTTTGTATTTGACGAAGAGAAAATAGTAGCTTATCTCTGTCATGCCATGGGGTATTATCCATATGCGTTTTTAATTCTTGATGGATTTGTATGTTACAAAAGGAAGCTTTACACTCTTCTAAGTTTTAGAAAAATCCCTGTTCTCTTCTGTGGTGACTAATTAAATGCAAACCTCATGTAAGTATTAGGGAGATTTACTAGAACAAAACAAAAGAGGAGATATGATAATGAAGTTAAAATCTGGCTTGTTGCTTCCTGGAAACAAAGGAAGTCTGTGCTTCTTACTTTCCAAAGCTGCTCATCTGGTGTGGAAAATTGGAGAGGACGTTGTGCTGCAAGTGGATGGCATGCTTTCTAATTCAGTGAAGCTTTTGAAATCTGTGGTAGCACCATTAGGGCAGCAGCATCAGCAGCACTGAATTTCCTGTTAAGATGGGAGTGTTGCCACCTTCCTAATTTGTTGGTATGAGTCTCAGAAGCCATCTCATTGAATATTTAGGAAATTGGCTTTTCAGGAAGGAAAATCTACTGCTATATGAGTTTCTTGGAAATTTTTCAAAATAAGCTAATGGCCCCAGATGCAAGCCAGCGATTTATAGATGAGGTGGTAGGGCTTGGGCTCCAGTAATGCTTTTCGTGCCTGTTGGGAACACAGTGTGACTGTTAATCGAATATCTTCTTGGCCAAATAGTTTTATATGAGGAACAAATGGCAAGAATAAAATAAATAGGGACAAGAAGAAAACTTTTTTTAAAATTTTGCTGATATTACAGGGAAGGGAGCTAGGTTGATGCAAAATGAAACTTAAATGTATTGAGATTCTTTTCACTCCACCCCCCCCCATTAACTCTCTATGGCTTGATTATTACACGTGCAGTGTGGCTTATCTGATTGTAACAAGAAAGTAAAAGTGAAGGTATTTATTCCAAATTTAATAGGCCTGGAATTGCATTTTTCTGCAGTTTTCACAACCTGTTTCCTCCTTCTCCTCTTAAAAGTAATGGCCGATGTTTTAATCTTCTTCAGCTGAGGGCTCACTACTTTATTTTCAATGCCCCATTATCACAAAACACCCATTTCTCTGACTGGACACCTTCGCTTGGAGGAATGGTGGACCGAGTTTCTCACAGGCCGAGAGCCTGAGAGGGCAGGCATCTGGCCTCAGGGCGGCTCACGGCTGCTTCCCCAGGTTTCAGATGCAGGCACCGAGGCGAGCACCAATCATCCAAGTAATCGATTCCTTGTCAACTGCTTTCCACTCAGTCATGCGCTTAATACAGAACAGCTAATAAATTCAGTGAAAAACAAGGCTGACTGCCTTTCTGTTATTATACAGAAAAAGAATAGAAAGAGAGCAGTTGGTTTCCCAGCAATTTTATGACAAGTCTTCTTAGTGTCGTGGAGATGAATAGTGGGTACCTTTCAGTAGATCAGTGATGGTTCAGTGAACTGGAAGGTTTTGCTTGAGACCTGGGGAAGACTTACAGGGTTGACATGTGCTCGTGCATCTGGTAACGGGTCATACTCCTTGAAATACAATTCATTTATTCACTATCGACTGACTGAGCACTGGCTATGTGACAGGCACATGCTAGGTGACAGGGTATTCATGGGGAAAAGGGAGGCACGATTTGTGCCCACTCTAAGTAGGGTGGTGGATCTGGAATGTCCCCTGAGGGCCATGTGTGGAAGGCTTGGTCCTCGGCCCATAGAGATATGGGATAGTGGGACTTTAATGGGTGGTGCCTATTGAGGAAGTTGGGTCATTGAATGTGTGCCCTTGAAGGAAATATTGGTGCCTCATCCCCTTCCTTTGTTTCTGTCTTTGCCTCCTGGCTTCTGTGAGGTGAATGGCTTCTTCCACTACATTCTGCCATATCTGCTGCCTAGCGGAGGCCCAAAGGCAGGGGGCCCAACCGACCATGGACTGGCACCTCTGAAGCTGTGAGCCCAATCAACTTTTTCTCTTCATAAGTTGATTTATCACAGGTGTTTGTTCCAGCAACGGAGAGTTGGCTAACACAGCAGGGCTAGGGTAGGAGATGATAATCAGTCACTCAAAGATATTTAACAGATGTGATGGATGAAGACTCAGATGGCAAAAAGAAAAGAAAAATGTGACAGGGAGCCATGAAAGTATGAAATACAGCCCTCCCACCTTGTCCCACTGTGGGTCAGGGCAGGTGGCCCTTGAGGGTTCTGCAAGTGCTAGAAATGGGCAGAAAGGTTTTCTGCACCAGAGCCCTGGGGTAGGTGTGGTGGGTGTGGAGCTCCCTGGGAGTGGAATCCAGGGCAGCATCGCTGGAAAGCAAGAAGCTACAGGGCAGGAGACAGCCAGCAAGGTGGCAGGGACCAGTAGAGGGTAAATGAAGTGATTTGTAACACTCAGGAATGAGTCTTGTTGTCTCCTGTCATTTGTGTAAAAATAAAGGGAGTTTGCAGTTCTATAGTGGCTCTGCTGTTTGAGAGAAAGTATTCATTCATTCATTCATTCATCATTCACTCACCCAATCAGCCAATAAACAGGAAGCAAAACATCCCTGTTCACATGGATCTTAAATTCTATTGGAGCAGGCAGATGACATGCCAGTAAGCAGAAATGGAGGGTTTATAGTAAGTTTTCATTTATAAATAAGTGGTGTGAGTGGTCTTCAGATGGAGCGTAAATATCTACTGTACTGCAACCCAGGGCAGTTATTCTTTTGTTGAATGAAATGATATTTTCTGCTCTAGCAGCCTGAGATGAGGCTGAGGACAGGCCCTCGTCACAGCACTCAATTCACAGCCAAAGACTGGTGAAATCCAAGAGGAAAACAGCAGAAGGAGGGAGCTGTGGGGTCTGTACTAGTTGATCTTGTTTCTGAGGAGCTAGTGGTACCTGTGTCCTCCTTCTATCTCCCCATCTTGCTCTGCAGCAGTGGGAAAGCCACGCAGGTCCCTGTGTGGAAATAACCGAGCTAGTGCTAACTGAGAAGGATCGGAGACAGAACAATTTAATCTTTCTTATCACAAGAAGAGCATGGTACACCTGAGCAGACACTCCATGTGGCTCACAGATTTGGCACGTTCACCGTCCCCGAGAATGGGTCACACCTTACAGTCCATGTGCACATTTAAGTAGTATTTCTTTCCCGAATTCCCATCCTAAGGCCATCCTGACTTAGCACTCAGAAAATACCACATCCCTGGAACCTTATTTTGGGTTTCAGTCGGACCTGAAATTCTGCTTGATGAATTCCTCATGGTGAAGCCAGCGTATCTGCACAGAAAGTATTACTGTTATTGGACCGGAGCGACCGTGAAGTGGCCTTCAGGTCTCGGTTGCGAAGGTCAGAGGATTTGGTGTAAGGCGTTTATTGTATCAATGGGAGCTGTAATGACTGCCTATTTTAATCTTCAAGAACTTCTTTCTCACATGAGAAAGAGCACATAAGTCAGCGATGATTTCTGTCTGTGCTGTCATAGTCTGTTTGGGCTGCTACAACAAAGTATCCCACATGGAGTGGCTTGTAAAGAGCAGGAGTGGCTTCTTCCGGGGACGATGTCTAGAGGCTTTCACAATGGTCCAGCGCTTGACCTACTGCCGTAGGCTTTCCTACAACATGGCTTCTAACAAAACCAGGGTGTCCCGAACCCCAGGGAACAGAATTGTTTACCTCTACACCAAGAAGGTTGGGAAGGCCCCCAAATCTGCATGTGGCGTGTGCCCGGGCAGGCTTCGAGGGATTCGTGCTGTGCAGCCCAAAGTTCTCATGAGATTGTCTAAAACAAAGAAGCACGTCAGCAGGGCCTACGGTGGCTCCCTGTGCGCCAGGTGTGTCCGGGACAGGATCAAGTGCGCTTTCCTTATCGAACAGCAGAAAATCGTGGTGTAAGTGCTGAAGGCACAAGCACAGAGTCAGAAGGCCAAATAAACGAAGCTCTCTGCGTAATAAAAGATGGGCGGGCTTGTTCCGTAAAAAAAAAAAAAATAGCAGAAGTGGATTTCTTCCAGTGGCAGGGGCTGGGAAGCCTCAGCTCAAGGTGCCAGTGGCTGCAGCCTCTCTGAGGACCTGTCTCCTGGCAGGTGGACGGTGCTGTGCCCTCCCATGCTGGAGGGGTGGGTGGCTCTGGAAGGCACCACAGCTCTCGTAGCTCTCTGCCCTCGGGACGCAATCACAATCATGTGCTCTGCTCTCTGATCCTGTCACGTGGGGTTAGGGTTTCCACGTATGAATTTGAGGGGAACAAACATTCAGATCACAGCATAGGCCAGGATCCTCTGGAAGGAGGACCCTTGGGGGTGTTCATGTCTCCCTACAGCACGCTTCTGCAGTGGACACCGAGGGCATGTGGAGGGGACACTTCTGCTGCAAGGGCTGTCCTGGGCATGGTCAGATGTTGGCAGCATCCTGGTGCCCATAGTCTGTGACTGCGGTCATGACCTCTGACTGTAGACATTACCAAGTGTCTCCTGGGAGGGACAAAATCACCCTCCGTCACTACCTGAGTATAGGCAAAAGAACGTCAATTCAGTCAGCTGCAAGAATTAGTAGCCTTTCAGTGACACACAGAAATGTAAATGGGGTGTATCAGTTGAGGTCAATTCTAGTTTTGTAGGAATCTGGGGACAGTAGAGAGAAAAGAGTGATGCTCTTGCATCTTTGGATGACAATTCTTGAGTAAGTTATTATCATAGTATATTGGTGTAATGTTCCCACAATATCTGTGGTTTAATCAGAAGTTCCTGCAAATGGAAAGAATGTGCTCTGTCCCTGTAAAGCTAAGGAATGGCATTCCAGAACCACTTAATTATCCATGATTAGATTGTCTGCCGTGGTATTTATGACAATGTGTTTCAGCGCCCAGGAAGACATAAGAGTGCGCATGTTTGCCAGGCAGATGTGACACCGATAA